GATGAATAGCGAGAAGATATAAAAATGTAAACGCCTTCATGTGACAGAAAATATGGTTAAGGGATTCATTTGGGCAACTCCAGACTAACCAGACCTAGAAAAGTTGATCTTGATTTTATAAACCCCTCTAGTGTAGTTAATTAGTAAAGCAAGGCATGGCAGTGCAGTTTTTGGAACGCTCTGGCTGGACCACACATTTCCAAAATTCCTGAGATGTCTCTCACTGGAATGTTGATGCTTTTCAGACTCAAACTAAACAATCTGATAAAATAGTTTTGTTGATTTTGAGGTAACTAAGCTCACAGTTAGAACCACAACTATGATTAAATCTGCATCTTCTGGAGTAAAATATTACTTTAGGGGACAGATTTGACTTAAAAACTCCCAAACAATATAAAAAAAAAAGACAACTAGGTAACAGAGTTGACTTCTTAAATGGAAATGGACTGAAACAACTGCTTCTCTGAAGCATTTTTTAAAGTATCCACATCTGAACATTTTTTTTTATTTTGAACAGTTTTTATTTAGAAAAGTTTATGCTTACCTCATTTTGAATGAAATGGGTTGTCTGAAATCTGCGTCTCTTCAAACTAATAAAGAAAGTCTTTGATTCTATCTGACTGATTTTCCATATCTCATTTAGATTTTGCAATCTTTTAATCTGGATGTAAGGAGAGATTAAGATTATAATAAAAGAGATAGAACATTGAGGCTTAATTAGAAAAGTTGCCCGGTGTGGTATTACTTTTTAAGATTCAGTAGACTTTGAGCTGGAGTTGATTTCTTTGCTAATTCAACATGTTCTCTTTGGTAGATCAATGATAAGGTCAACTGTCCGGACACGGGAGAATCTAAACCTTACCAAGGTAGTAAGTATATACTAAATGGACAGGAACTGTCCTGATAAACACAGAGTACAGGAGTTTTCCCTGAAGATTGGTAAAACATGAATGAGGATATCATTCAAACAGAGCTGTACTGCCAGGTTCTCAGTATTATTCCTTAAACTAAACGTGGTGTTATACCCTGGAGGTTTGTTGCTGTTCAGGATTGGACAGAAACTCCTAGGAGTCCAATCATAGTGGTGTAGAAAAGCTTTGAAGGCAACCATCTATGCTTTGGACCAAATGGCACTGGCATGAGACAGTTAGCTTGTACAGTGTCCAATGTCAGTCATTGGAACATGGTTCAGTATTCAGAGGACAGATGACGATGGTAGGATGTTCTTGAATACTTGGTATTCAAGGCAATAGTTGCTTTCTTTAATATATTTGGGGCAAAAAGAACCTTATTGCTGATGTTTGTGAGTAATTCCTAATAAATCCAACATCTAACTACTTTAAATAACAACTGCATTCAACTCAATACCTCGGGGAGCAGTGGGCTGCCATTGTGTGGCGCCCGGGGAGCAGTGTGGGTTAAGGGTCTTGCTCAGACACTCAGAGTGGCAGTCTGTGGAAGTGGGGCACGAACTCAGAACCTCAGAATTCCAAGCTTTATACCATAACCACTTGGCCGCCACTCCCCATGCGTAATGGTGCACCAAAATGGTGTTCCTATCATACTCCCATCAGGCGTTGCTTATAGTGCCAAAAGGGTCCTATATCATATAATTAAGCCTTCGAAAGTAAACCCTAGGTATATAATTCACAAAATATCGCCTTTGACACCATGGAGTAATAACAGATTTCTGGTTCTATTTTTTCCAAACCAGAAGAAAGACACTTGCCCACATGGGGACTCTGGCTCTGTTGGTGTGGGTGATGCTCATTTTTATGACCTCTTTCTGGAGCAGTAGTTTTTAAGCCTGGTCCACAGGGACCTCTTCATTACATGCTTTGCTTGACCTCCTCGGCAGCCATCCAGTGTAGCCAAGTAGACACCTTAAACACTCCATGCAGGGGCACCTGAGGACCACGATTGAGAAAAACGACCCTAGACTTACTCCAATATGGTATCACACCTCTTTTGGCCATTACGCTCTTTTTAGGAAGGCTGAACAAAATCTGTCACCTCTTGCAGCCAAAAAGGCATCTTTGCGATTTAGACATTACCGTCAAAGAGAACAATTGTTGTCACTGTGCAGATTAGCTCCCGAAAGAGCCACTTCAACTCAACTTTAAGCAATTGTGTGCACACTCTGCCTCGCATTAATGCTTGCTGATTGGAGAATGTTGGTATTTTGGTTACTGGGCAAACAGGGAAGTGCCAGGGAAGTGCTGATGCAAAAAGAGCAGACTTCACAAGCATTAATAGGAGAAACATGAACCAAGTAAAATACCATACTTGGTGCTTTGTTTGGACAAAAGAATAGCGTTAAGAAATAGATACAGTAGCAGCCAGGCAAAAGCAGCCAACTTTCCTCCAACTCCCAGCGAAATCCCCTCCAACTTCCAGCCACTGGAGTGACCCCCTCTTGCATATTTTCTTACTCTGGTTCTGTTCATTCCAAGAATTAAAGGGTATGACCAGGAAATGACGCTTCTGTTTTGATCTTAATGTTCAAAAATCCTGGCAGAAAGAATATTTTAGTACAAATATTGATTTTTAAAAAGGAATTGTTTGGGACCAGCCAAGAACCAGCCAAGGGCCCATCAAATAAAATGGGGAAATTTTGAATGGCTACTACTGTAAAAGCTCAACAAAGCATATATTTTTCATGATATTGGCCCTTATATGGGTGGGTGCTAGCTCAGAAACCTCAACTGAACAAGCAAAATAATGGGACAGATCCCATCAGATGTCTGTTCTGCTTGTCCAATGTTTTCCAAGCTCGATAGCTAAAGCTACATTTGCAAAGAGGGGATAAGTAGCAGATAGAAGTGTGCAAGAAAGTAACAATGATTCCTAGGCTTCTGGGTCTTTCAGACTGGTCAAAAGTGATTTGTCGCTGTGCTTGCTCTTTGCTCTGCACAGAGCATCCCTTTGTGACTTTGCAAGCTTTCTACATTCAAAGTTCAACAAAGGTCAACTTTGACCTTGGTGCACAGGGACAAATGTATGCGTTTACAAAAGAAACCAGGCCATCCTGTCAAAGGCCTAAAAAAGGAGACTGAATGAAGGAAAAGCTAATATTGCGTGTTTCTGGATTCGATGGAGGCTAAGCTTTTTGACAAGCCCGAACTTTTCAAACTGTTCTGTGGTCCCGAGGTTTTGACTACCCACAGCTTCTTCCTCCCTGTTGCTTTTTTCTTCTAACTAACAAGGCTATCGTTAGCACCTCACTGCTGACAAACAAACACCTGCCCATCCAACCCGTGTTGTGTAAACCAACCAATTTGAAAGGCCTAGTATGTTGGGTCCACATTATCTCTGAATTGGGAAGTTGGAATGACCTAATCTCAGAGGGGAAAGCGCTTTAATTTACTGCTTGTGGACTCTCACATTCTTCATTGTCTGTAGAGCATATGACCATTACAGCCTTTATTACATCCACCACAATGGCAAAAGAACAATGCTGAATGCAGTAACAAAGACATGATAAAAACAATTTAAAGTTGAAGGCAAAAACATTTAACTATTGTTAAATGTTGCATTTAACAGTGATACACGCCTATTTAAATTCTCAGTCATCTAGGTAATGGCAACAACAAAAGAGACTTAAATCAGAGGAAAGCAGACTTTTTCTGAAATTTTCTGAGGATGTTTTCACACTTTTTCAGGATCCTTTACTAATTCCATCAGCTCACACTTAAGCAATCTGTAGTTTTGAAGCTGATTTTTTTTTTTTGGTCATGTCATTTCTGTGGAATGAGTTCCCTAACTAAAGTTGCCTCCGATCTAAGCCTGTTTCCTGAAACTGTTGATGCAATTACTCAGTGATCGTAAATTCAAACTACAAATGGAACTCAACATTATGTCCCTGATGTTGCACCTTCTCCGCTTCTTCCACTTTACAATTTTGATTGGTTAAAAAGCAAGTATTTCTACCATTGGAAGGGACTGTTTGTTGCATTAAGACAAGAGGCTGCAGATTGTTACTGTTGGAAGCACTGTTGCATTGCATCTTGTCCTTTTGTGTGTTGTTAATGGCTGGAATAAAAGATTGTGTGTGTACGTTTTGCAATGTCTTTGCTTGATAAAACACTTTAAGACAATTTTTAAAATTTACTTTAGAGTAGTTATAGGTACCATTCACATTTGAACTGATTTTATAAAGTTACCTGGTACCTAGAAGTACCTAGAACCATTTTAATTTATTTCTTAAACACTAGGTGTACTAGGTGGTCTCATCATCATTGTGCCAGCACCAAATGGTTCCAACATTTCTTCTCCCATGTTTCTGTCTTCAAACTAAGACATGCTAACAAATTCAGATTAATGCATGAGTTGTAGTCATGGATCTAAGGCTGTTAAATGGTCCACTCCTCAGCTATGAGGAAAATGTTATACATTCAATAAATTCCTATTCAAAACCTCATACACTAATATGTGTGTGCGCAGACATTCCTTCCTGATCTCAGCTATCCTGATTAATATCTCTTTATTGTAACAAGTCTCTTTCTCTTCTGTCTTTGTGTGTCTGGGCACGTTTTAGATCGTCTCTGATTTAAGACACCCAGATGACATCACTCACAACCGAACCCGAGACGAAACTGTTTTTACTTTTGAAGAGGAAGGAATTATTTAAACTTGCATGCTGTTCTTTGTCTAATGCATTGCTCAGCTCGTCGCTCTGCAGCCCCTCTCTGCTGCTGAACAACATTTACACTATAATGATTTTACAGCAATGCGTAGAGTCCTCCGCTTCCTTTGTGAGAGCAGCCCTAGAGTACTGTGGAAGAAAGGTAACAGCCTAAGTAAGCTGCATCCTCGCTCATCTCTGCTAATTACTAATACAAAGGATGGAGTTGCACACGTCAGATTGAGGAACCTCTTAGCATCAGTTAAAAGAACTGATGTGTAGATTTGTTTTTTACAATCTTAGATGGGCTGAAAGATTAGACCAGGGTTGTAGGTAGAAATAACAAAACAAATTCTGATGTATTTCCTAAAAACACTTTTTTTATTTTATTTTATTCACAGATCAAAGCGTGCTAACCTCTCAGAGCTAACCGCCAGCTGAACAAACGTGTATATATGTGTGTGTGTGTGTGGTCATGTCGGGAATGACTAGCGGCGTTTGTGTGGAGAGTGACCTCTCCTCAATGCTGCAAAGAAGCTCAGCCCCTTCTCACCATCACCCAAATCACCATGGTTATGGCGGTCAAAGCCAGGTGAGGCAGTTTTTTCACGTTTTGATTCCTTCCAATGAACCGCAGTGTTGAAGCGATAGTGGTTGGTTTGTAAAGTCGTATGGTGTAACGAAAAATGACCTTTGTTGCAGGTGTCTGGTCTGGCACCAATGCTGGACTACACCACAGAGATGGACCGGTACCGCTCATCTATAGCCACCTTCTACAAGACCAATGTCAACATGAACATGAACGTAACAAACTTTCCCCAATCGGCCAAGCTGGCAGCCCGTCTGGCGGCCGCTGCTCCCATCTTCCCCCCTACCGCTGCCAGGCTGGGCGCCATGGCGACGGCCCCCTGGGGATGTCATGACAACATGAACATGAACATGAACCACCCAGCAGCCATGTTCTGGGGCAGACCCAAACCTGTTGCCACGGCGCCAACGCATCCTCACCACCACCCCTCGGCGACTCCCGGTCACATGACCTCTTCGCACGCCCACAGCAGCAGCATGCACCAGAGCAGCGGGGGTCCTGGTGGGGGAGGGGGTGGTGGTGGTGGAAGTGAAGGGGGCGGAGCTGAAAAACATGGACACACTGCATCACTTCCTGTTAGCCAAGGAACAGCGCATCATCACGCCATACCGCCTAGCAATGGGAACTTTCTCTCCGGTTACAGTGGTGGAGCAGAGTGTGGTGTCATGAACAAGCAGGGGCACGCCCACCCGGACATGATGGGCCTATCAGAGGGCAGCAACTGCAATGGGGGAGGAGTTATGAGTGGTGGCTTTCTGGGGGGGCTTGGTTTACCCCCTGGGGTCATTGTCATGGCAATGGGATCCGCAGGTGGAGGGATTTCAGACGCCAGCAGCGCTTTCCAGATGACAAGCGGCCAGAGAGCGCTAACAGACTGCCAACAGCATACCAACTCCTCCCCCTGCCCCTCCTCTTCCTCCCCCTCGTCGTCAGGGGTGACAGCAGGGGGCGTCTCCCTCTCTTCGTCATCTTCATCGTCATCAGGGACTGTGGCCAAGAGGAAGCGGAAGCGCTGTGGCGTCTGCGGGCCGTGCAGACGGCTGATCAACTGCGGCGTCTGCTCGTCCTGTCGCAACAGGAAGACGGGGCACCAGATCTGCAAGTTCAGAAAGTGCGAGGAGCTAAAGAAGAAGCCGGGAGGAGGAGGTGGGGTCCTAGAGGTGAGCCTGTTGGTACACACACAGAAAAACACTTACCATGCAGTACCAAAAATCTTTTCAGGACTCAAACTGCCTCTTGTTTTGTCTCATTAATCTTGAGTGGGTTCTAATGGGATGAAATATGACAAACCTGTGGTGCTTTCATACCAAACTCGAACGGAACAAAAGTTTCACATAATTTGAATGTTGTTGCTTGCTTGACATTTCTCCAGCAATCTATGGCTAGACCAGAGTAACCTCTTGCATTACCTCTCTCTGACCAAGACCCAAAACTTTTATCCAATTTTCGTGGCAGAACACCTGTGCAAAGAAGTAAGGCAAAGAGACGGTTTGGAGCTCACTGAGAACAGTGAGAGTCTAGTGCAAGAGGTCAGGCAGAGGTGGAGGGCTGTAACCGGCATTGGAGTAACTCACTTTGCTATGTTTGCCCTAATCTTGCCATTTGCATCGTTAAAATGTTTTCTTTGCATGGCTTTGCTTCTGAATGCGACTCTGCATCAGAATACAATGTAAATCACTTGATCTGGTTGTGTCATTTGACTCCAGTGTGAATGTGCCATTACTCAAAGATGGGTATTATGTGAAGAGGAAGGAAACTTTTGATAAAACACAACTAAGGAACCCAACAGTTGGGTCAATGCGGAAGATGTGAAGTCTAAAGGAGAGTTGGGTTCCAAAGCTGAATCCAAAGCTTTAAACATCTCCCAGGGCTCTGTTCGATCCATCATTTAAACATGGAGAGAAGATGGACCAAAACTGTAGGTCAACCTCAACATGGAGGTCAACCTAGACTGAAAACCTAGAGGGAGAATGGTGGCCTAGTGGTTAGGGCATAGAGCTTGGAATCCTGAGGTTCTGAGTTCGAGGCCGACTACCACAGACTGCCACTCTGGGTCCCTGAGCAAGACCCTTAACCCCACGGTCCCAAATTGTAGGTGACAGCAGACAGTGCCACAGATAGGAGGCCTCTAATTGGTCAATTCTACATCCGCTCTACTCTATGCATAGTTCCTGTTTGGTACCTTACCGGCTTGTTTTGTTTGTATGACCGCGAATATGGAAAACGACTCGTGAAGATGGACCAGCCAGAAGAGCGAGGTGCACGAGAACGCTGGGACCCTTTTTCCACCTGGATATCCTTTCTCTTTTGCCCTCATATCCCTCTGTTGTCGCACAAAATTTCCCTCACCACTTCGGGCGTATCTAGACCCACAGCTAGTACCTGATTGTCCATCTGGTGTTGTGGCACGGAACACCATAGCGCAGACCACGCTTCAATATTGGGCAAAATACTGCTGCGGGAGGATAACCAGCCCTTTACTCTTACAAGCTAGTCACCCTTTGTGTGTACGCATCTTCACATGCAGTCTTCACAATGAAACACGGTGGTGGCAGCATTACTCTGTCAGGTTGCTTTCTTTTTCCTTCATGAAGGCAGAAGCTGATGCAGCTAAATCCAGGACTTTCCCAAAGATGATTTTGCCCAAACCGCCTGCAGTTCCATGTGCAGAGAAAGATGGTCCCACTACATGGAGACAGAAATACCCAGAGGGCTAGACTTTCCAGATCTCTGATCACTCTCCTTCCACTTCAAAACTTTTCAATGCCATGTGCTGTCCTTTTCATAAAAACACAATAAAACCCTCTCAAGTTTGAGTTTTTAATGAGACAAAGCAAGGAAAAGCTCAACGGGTATCAATACTTTTCAAAACATGACTCGTCTTTGTACACGTACAGTGACAGGGCTGAATATTTAGCCGGTTTTGCCTCTCTTCCTGTTTCTGTGTGTGTGTTTGGTTCTCTGGGATGTGCGTGTGTGTGTCCTGGCTCACTTAACCCAGATGACTGCCAGTGAGGCTGGAAGGCATCGCTCACCCCGCTGAGTGAGTGTGTGTGAGTGCTGTGCAGATGGTGGGTGGTGAAAAGCGAGAGCTCGGAGCATGCTGAGGTCTGGCAGGCTGCCAATGCACACACACTGAGCCCAACACACTCACTCAGACACACACACACACCAGCTCTACACTGATTCACAGAGATAAAGAGAGCCTGCAGAGAGCGGGAAACGGAGAATATTTATGTTATCTGCCTCCTCCTCAGGGCGTGTGTGCCAGCGCTCGTCTTTGCCGTAAGAAGTAGCGGCGATCAATAATTCATTGACACCAGTTTTCGACCTCACTGATGACTCCATATATCTTTCTCACACACACACACACACTTCCTGTGGGAATGTCTACGTACCAGCTCTAATTATTCCCTCTTCTGCACACTAAAACAAGGAGTGTGTGTGTTAGGGAGACAGTGAATTAGCAGCCATAATCTTCCTCAATTACACACTAATTGGACCTGTGGAGGCTCACGGCAACTGACAGCACCATGCATGTGTGTTTTAGCATGTGGATGTGTGTCCTGAATGTGTGCGTTGGCAGGTGGTTTCACACTCTTGCCTCATCCTTTTCCCGCTTCTTTGAAGTCGACCTGACAGACGTTCCCTTGGTCCTAAACTTGACTTTGTGTGCTGAACATTAAAGCTTTGACAGAACTTCTTCAGAGTTTTGTCCTGTAGAGTCCACAAATTCCTTTGGGTTTGCTAAAGGATAAGATAAAAAAGGAGGTGTCCAAAAGTCCTCAAACTTTAAAGCTGGGTCAGAACCTTTCCCAAAGGCCAAACACAGAGAAGGTCTTGACTTATTAGAAAAACGCTGAAAGGCAAACAGGTTCAAAGTTAAAAGTTGAACCTTGAACAAGTTTTTGCATCCTTGCAAATCTACAAAAATAAAAAAGCTCTCTGTCATTTGAAGGGAATAGACTATGGTCTGAACTAAAGTGTGTCAGATGCTTGCAAAAGTTTGTGCAAACCTCAACTCTTCTTCTTTGTTTTCTCCTCAGCGGCCGCCCTCCGTCCCAGCCGGCGAGGCGTTCCGCTGGTTCTTCTAGCCTTTCCTTCACCGGTGGATTTACCAACGCAGACAGACCTGGACTGAATGAAATTCAGAGGAAGGACTGCGTCGTCTCGGACTGAACCGCAGCACGAACTTTGTCGTGTGCGGGATTGCCCAGAAATCCTGTTTCGACTGGATGGAGGCAGAGGAGGGGGAGGAGGGAGAGGCAGTTGGATCCCTTAAACTCACCCTCCATTGGTAAATAAGTTAGCATCTCAAGTAGCTCAACTAAAGCAGGTTAATTCAAACCATTAAGTCATCTGACACATCTGCAACGGTTCTTGTATTCAACTGATAAATGTTCTGTACTGTTACTTTATCTCTGCGGTTGAATGAACTTTTCCTGATTTTGTGCGATCCAAGATTTGGGTCAAAACCAGAGAGATGTCTTTGTACCTTCTTTTATATCTTGATGTCTGATTTGCCACATTGGTTTGATCCATCTTTGTAATCTTAGCCAGATGTGTTAATACGGGTCAGTTCAACTTTACCTACAACCATCCATTCACCTAAAGGCAGAATCAGCCCCTAAAATAACTCCCGGGGTAGAGTTACTCTCTGGAAGTCCATGAATTTCTGCTCAAGTCCAGTTTTCACAATGAATAGCTGTCGTTCATGATGGGACAGAACATCAGAGCAAACGCAGGTCGCATTTGGATCCAGATTACAGGGTTCCCTGAGTGAACCTTTAAGCTTGTAAACCCATTAACCTGGTCAGTATTATCTTGTTAGCCCTGAAGTCTTAAGTTCAGGGCGGGTAAAGCGCCAATCCTTAATGTGCCACAGCATTGCTTACTGCTGAAGGATTTCAAAGTATTACGGTAGTTTTTGTTTAAGGTTTTGGATCATAACTAAGAACAAAAAAAAAACACTCAGGGGAACAAATGCTTTAGGTAAAGTAGAGAGTACATTCCTACTGATGAACTGACAAGTATAGGAAGCTACAGGCTTCCGAAGGAAGTAGGGTAGACTTTAAAATGTTGTTCGGTTCGTTGTGTCAAAGGGAGGATAAAGGTTTTCTAAGGTCTTCATCCTATTCGAGCAAATCATTCTGGTTTATATTTAAAGCTGTAGCTGTCTAAAGCCGTCTTCATACCCAACGTAGAAAAAAAATGCCATTTCTTTACGTTGTTCACCTGCTGTTGGTAGGTCTGCATTTCACCTGTCCCACCATCAATTCACAAAGATATAAAGAAATCCCATCATCTTCACTGCACTCCTTCACCCACATCTCAAAACCATTTCAGCAAGTAATTGGTTAATGCAACATGAATTAATTTGCTCCTGATTACAGCTTTACATAAAGATAACATCCATATTGCTTCCTGCGCCTTGTCCGCGGTTAGCGTGAACATGGCTTAAGGCTTTGACTGGTCGAACTGGGTAGTGGCCAATAAAACTCTACTTCAGGTTAATAAAGAAAGAACTTTCTAAACATATTTTGTTCCATTCATCAGACAACTGCCTTCCTCCTCTTCCTCCTCATCTTCCCAGCAAAACCACTAATCCCATTGTAGCAAAACCCAGGATGATTCAGGACTCAGCCACAGAGACTTCTTCAGTTTGACCAAAACTGGCTGACAAGCTAACCTCCAAGAGGATTCACAAACTGACCTCAGTAGGAAGTGATCCAAGACTGTTAATATGGACAAGTTCCCTACAGTAGGACTACAGCAACCACATCACTGTTATCTGTCTCTTCTGTCTACCTCCTCCAGAACTTTACAGGCACCTTGATTGACTCTTACCGGATGGTGTTTCTGCTGGTACAATAAGAGCTGCTTCTTAACTCTCTTGGGGCTCCAGAGTTCATTGAGTTCAAGTGAAGCCGGTCATTAATCTGGCAAATGAAAGAGTTTAAGGAGTTCATTGGGTTTGCTGGATTTTGACGGGAGGTTTATGAGGTTTTATAAAGCCAGAAGTGAAGTGGGAAAAACAGTTTTACTGGATTCTTGGTAATTTAATTGAAGCTTTCCGAGTCTTACCATCTCTGGTTAACCCCAAAATGAGAAAATGATTTTTTTTTGGTATCAAACCATCAGTTAAACCCTGGATCTCAGAGAGAGTTCAGAACCAGTCCCCATATTCCTGTATCAGAGCACAGTGAACCAAGTGGTAAAAGAAACAAAGAGCTGTACTTCCAGCGCAGCGCGGGAATTTCTCAGGGATCCGTTGGATCCCCTGAGCAGAACTCCGAGACCCAACGGAACCGAGCTGGAAGAGATCAGAACATTCCACACTGCAACTGTGTCATTTCCTGTTTGTCAGCTGAGGACATGCTCAGTGATACCTTGTACACACTAAGACATTCTCATTAAAATTTTATCTTGAAAAGTTAAACGTTTGGTGGAATAATCAAATCGGTTCTCCAAATATTTTCAGTAAACATTCAGCTAAGGGTCTGGTATTGAATATGGACCCAAAAGCAAAACAATAAAATGTCTTTTTGCAAACCTGAATATCCATCCATTTTCCATCACGACCATCTACGATCACGAGGGGTGCTGGTGCATATCTCCGGTAGTCTATGGGTGAGAGACGGGGTACACCCTGGACAGGTCGCCAGGGCAACACAGAGACAACCAACCATTCACGCACACAATTTAGAATCTAGATTAGCCAATTTACCTAACAGTCATGTTTTGGACTGAGGGGCAAGCCGGAGTACCCGGAGAGAACCCACGCATGCTCAGGGAGAACATGGAAACTCCATGCAGAAAGACCCTGGGCCGAGAATCTAACCTAAAGCCTTCTTGCTACCCACTGCAGCACTGAGCAACCCAACCTGGACATATTTTTGAGTAAACATGGCACTAAAGCCTCCTCCCGCACACCTGTTGGTTTAAAAAGAAAAAGGAAATCCATTTGTAATGCAGTCTGGGTCGCATTATTTCCGTTTAGGAACTCAACCTTTTTAAAAAATGCCTGATTTTCCCTCTCTAACCAACTTCCCTCAGGTTTTCGAGGATTCCCTGCTTTAGCACAGCTGATTATGATGATTGCAGTTTAGTAAAAGCCTGTTAATCAGCTTTCAGTTAAAACCAGCTGTGCTGGAGGAAGGAAACCTCTAAAACCTGCAGGACAGCGGCCCTCGAGGACCGACTTTGGGGATGCCTGGTGTATCTCCTCCAGTAGCATCATCTCATTCTGGCTCATTGTAATTCCTATTGGGACCTGCTTTTTTCCCCTATATTTTACTCATTTGTGTGAACTTCCCTGACGTTTGCTAAATTTGATGCTCTTCACAAAACAAAACATACCACTAAATTTCACTGCAACAAGACGAAGCTAATAAAGCTCTAATAACTCCCACCATTAGGCTCTATCTCAGGGTTTCAAAACCACGCAGATGTTTAGAGTAAGATGGAGGTAAAACGGCACGAACAAAGGCTCATGTGGCCTCTTTGTTGAATCATCTCAGATTACGCACAATAACATCTTCGCCACCAGCCGGGCAGAGAAGCTCCATTCTCTGCAGAACGTTTCTCAATCCCATCTTCTCTTCCCGCAGCTCTGCTGGAGTTTCTGCACCTGACGATGTGCTGGAAATGTTTACAGATATTTGTTTATCTTTCATGGGGAAAACGCTCCCCGGCTCTTTGTGGGAGCTGAACCCAAACATCCTCTTCCTCCCAGGCTGGAGGAGGAAGGAGGAGAGAGCCTTTCTCCGTGCTCTCCTCATGTAATCCGTCTCTGTGACCTCTTCATGTGCTGAATTATAATAAAGCATTTAACACACACACACACGGGTTGAAGGGATGTCTGATGATTGCATCATGCGTCGCAGTGAGTAATGATGTGTGTGAGCAGGAGGAGGCGGCAGGCATGAAAATGAACAATATGTTTTCCTGTTTGTGTGAAATTTTCCTGCCACAAGATGGAAGCTCGGTGTGTGTGTGTGTGTGTGTGTGAGCGTGGGCTTGTCATCTCTGTAATGGTGTTGCTATCTGACAGAGAAAGAAAGAAAGACAGAGCCTGGTTGTCCCTGACGACGGTGCGCCGTGTTGCCAGGCAACTGCGCTAACAATGGGCCCACCACCAGTGTTCTAGAATGTGGGCGTGGCCTGAGGAGGAGAGGGGCGGGGGCTGTCCTCCTAGAACCATCCTGGCTGACGTAAGGGTTGGGTTTTTAGATTAGAGGATGGTGGATCATCCTGGATCCGAACAGAACCACAAACTGCTGGATTATAAACAAATATTAACACTTTCCGTCATTTTGAAGAGTTACAAGATGCCGTAGATTACCAGGATTTAATCTGTCAGGATTACACAGCGAAGCAAAGCTATGGAGAAAAAATGTTTTCTTCTAAACATCAGATAATTATGGAGCATGTTTGAAAAAGCTCAGCTCCTTGAGGAGTCTGCCTCAATGATTGACATCTAGAGGTTCTACCTCTATGGTTTTATACCTCAGGGTTTCTACATAACAGCCTAAAACACACTGTTTCTACCTCAGAGGTTCTACCAGATAGTGTCATCATGTCTGCACCAGATGTAACGCTCCAGAAGACATTTTGACAGAAGACATTTCTAGTTATTTCTCAGTTCTGTCAGCAGGTTCTGAATGAAATTGATGTCTGGGCTTTGACTAGGCCGCTAACCCATCCTTCTGTATTTCTAGATGTTTTTTTTTGTTTGTTTTGTTCCATCTTTTAAATGTCATTACACTGTCACAAGAACAAAGCAACGAAATTCACTCTCTGCATTTAACCCATCCCCTTGGGGAGCGGGCTGCCATTGTGTGGTACCTGGGGAGCAGTGTGGGGTTAAGCGTCTTGCTCAGGGACCCAGAGTGGCAGTCTGTGGGAGTGGGGCTTGAACTCAGAACCTCTGTGAGCTCTAACCACTGGGCCACCCACTTCTCTATGTTTATAGGGCGGTTTTCCTGCTGGAAGGTAAACCTCCATCCCTCCATCATGGATTTGTTTCCATCCAGCTTCCCATAAACTGAGCAGTTTTTCTGACCTTGCTGAAGAAGAGCAGCACCACAGAATGATGCTACCGCCTCCGTGTTTCACTCAAGTCACGTTTTCACGTGCAGAACAAGCTTTCAAACACAGCTTGTGAGATTCAAGACATTTTTAACGATGGGTTTGATTCTGCTCCTGCTACTTTTTCACGAACAACCATTTGGCGAGTGTTATAAGAAAAGTCTTGAGATTGTATTATCAAGAAATGACATTGGTGATCTTCATTCAAGCAGCATTTAATAACCATTGCAAGGGAAAACATACAATGTCTGTCAATGTTCCTGCCTGTTCTGGTCTAGAAAAGTTTGTTCTAACAGACTTACAGTCTGAGAGCTGTGAAGGTGTCCACAAACAGTTAATCAAAACAAGTTGATCAGGGGGTGTGGCCTAGTGGTTAGGACATTGCCCTTGGAAGCCAGAGGTTCTGATTTCAAGCCACACTCCCATCTACTGACATTCTGGGTCCCTGAGCAAGACCCTTAACCCAAGACTGCTGTGTAATGACAATAAAAGCTGTAAGAAGAAAACAGTAAGATGCTGAATGAGCTTTGAGTTTAAACGAGTCTGGTTTAAAAAAAGCTCAGAGATAAGACTCACATCTAACAGGTGTTCTGCTTGAGTAAATACTTCTGTGCAACAAACAAAACAAGCTCACAATCAGTTATTAAGCAGAGTCCAAACAGGAGATTTTTTCCCATTACATAGTTTTTGGTGTATGATAAACTTCTTTCCTGAGCTGTGCGCCGTTGTCTCCAGTCACACTTCTTGGCTGCTTCCCTCTTTGCTGCCAGTTTAGGTGGACTACCACATCTTTTACAGTCGGTCTATCCCTTCTACATCATTGGATCAACAGAAGATGTTTAAAGTTTAGGATATTGCTTTAGAACATGACCCTGCTTTATTCCTCTCTGACCTTTCTGCTATGGTGCTTGATCTTAAAGAGGCCAGACCAACCTCGAATCAAACACTTGATTGCAGTAAGTTTTATTAGGTTGCATTAAATTAAAGTAGAAAAACTTTAAACATGTCAGACTTCAGGTTTTTAAGTGTTGTATAGTAACGAAGTAAAAATACTTCACTACTGTATTTAAGTATATTTTGGGGTACCGTACTTCATACTTTCTAAGAGTATACATTTTTTTGAGAACTTTCACTTTTACTTCACTACATTTCCGAACTTAATTGCATACTTTTACTCCGATACATTTTCAATGTTTGGTTTAATTACTAAGTAAAAAAAATAAAATAAAATCATCGAGAGAAACGCAAGTGTTTTGACTCCACCTACTGACCACAAAGTCGGGTCTTGCCTGGGCTTGTTCATCAACACCAATAGGATACGCCTGTTTCACAAAGCCAGTCTAAATTTATCCAACACTTGGTTGTTTAGATTATTTTAAGTGGATTTAACCTTCAGAGTTTACCAAAATGTAAAAAAATGTCATTCAAACTGCAATTACTTTTTACTTATACTTTTCACTACATTACTTGAGTACATCTATTTTTACAGTAATTCTTATACTTAAGTTCAAGCCATTTCAGATACTTTAAGACTTTTACTCAAGTAACATTTCAGTCAGTGACTTGGACTTTTACCAAAGTCATATTTTGGAGAGGTACTTATACTTTTACTTGACTCAGAGATTTCAGTACTTTATACAACACTGTGCTTTTCCTTAAAAGCCATGGTTTAGCTGTTAAATAAAACCTAAAAGAGTTAAATGTGACTCAAAAAAACGACATAGAGTTAGAAAGCAAATAGAAAATTTAAACCATCTGAGAGAAATGATTTACCAGGCTGGGTAAAAAGGTCTGTATGACAGCAAAATGGTGAGTAAAGTCTCCTCAGCTTCGTTCGGTACCTGTAGCATTGGAGGAAGAGTCTGTAAATGTATACTTTGGGTGTCAAATCCACTATATGAGTTCAGAGTTGATAGACAAAGAGTTATTTTTTCCATTTTAACACCTCCAGATTTATTATGTATTTTTTAACACTCAGTTTTAACTACTAACATGTGGCACCTCAGAGTTATATTTGT